AATAGAATAGAATAGAATAGAATAGAATAGAATAGAATAGAATAGAAAATAAGGAATTGAATGGAATGGAACGGAACGGAACGGAATGGAATGGAACAGGACAGGACAGGACAGGACAGGACAGAACAGAACAGAACAGAACAGAATAGAATAGACAACAAAGTGATAATCATAGATGCCAATAGGAGAGATGAGAAGGACAATAGTAATACAGCCTTACTACAGCTTGAGAATGGAGAAGTGTATAAGCCGAGCAATGCCTCTCCTTGTGCTAGTTCTGTTGCATCATCTGGTGTGCTTGCTGGTTTGAAACATTGCAGATTGCATAGCTGTAGCATATTTCTCTGCAGTATTAAGGAAGTGGGGGGATGATGGACATATCAGATAAGCACCAATGCCCCATCTCCCTCTCAGAATGGAGGTTTATGTGAGCGGGCAGGTGGATGGAGATTAGCTAGCATCTGGGCTGAGGGTGTCCTGTTCATTTGAGACCTCTGCCTAGCTGCTTATAGATCATCTCTAAAAGCCCTGGAGAAAAGCAGCTGGATGTGGCCTGTTGTTGGTTGTTAGTGTGCTAGTTTTGGAGAAGCAGGAAGTGCGGAAGGGATCTGGGAGTGAAAGGGGGCGTGGCTTTTCTAATCAAAACTTTGGCAAGCTGGAAGCAACCTAAGGAGAAAGGATTGGAGAAGCTCATTTCATTGTTAGCAACTTCCAAGCCTTCAAACATTACAGCCACAGAATCTCATCCTTTGCCTAGCACAGTTTAAAGGGCAGGTGTACCTGAGACAGGTGTCTATCTACTTCCACAGCAGCCTACTCCTAGAACAGGGATGGCTCACCTTTTCGTCGTCACGTGCCGAAAGTCTGCGTGGGCACACACGCTGCCTGCATCCATAATGCAACGCTCACAAGGCCCCCTGCCCCCCTGCGCATCTGCATGAGACCCCCCCCTGCATGCACCACACACCTCTGCACATGCACATGTGACCAGGGGTGGGACTCAAATTTTTTAACAACCGGTTCTGTGGGCATGGCTTAGGTAGTGGGCGTGGCTCAGTGGTCATGTGACTGGGTGGATGTGGCTTGGTGGTCCTGTTATTGGCTGGGCGTGGCCAAATCAACATCACTCACATCGAGGCATATATCTCCTCGCCTGGCCTCTCATGACTGTGGGGAGGCTGCAACAGTTGTAAGTGTGAAAAATGGTCATAAGTCACTTTTTCCAGTGCCATTGTAACTTTGAATGGTCACTCCACACAAGCAAAGTACCAGCAAAGGAGGGGAAAAAAACTCCAGAGAAGTTCCTGAGACAGGAAGTTTAGTCCTGCCAAGAATGTAAAAAGGGTTAACGGAGAGGCAGTTTCTTTAAGCAACACCAGAATGTTTCCTTCCTGTCTTCCTTACAGGATTAGGCCAGTAATTTCTTCTAACAGCCGGTTTTCCGAACTGCTTAGAATGTTAACAACAATGTTCTAGCGAATAGGTGCGAGCCAGTAGAATCCCACCCCTGCATGTGACCCCCTGTGTGTGCCCTGTGCTCTGTGCATATACCCACATCTCCTGCATGTGTGTCACCCCCCGCATGCGTGGCAGATACCCAACAATCAGCTGGCTGGTGGGAGGCATGCGCGTATGCGCAGTGGACCTGATCTGGGGCCTCACGTGGACCTCACGTGCCGGCAGAGATGGCTCTGTGTGCCACTTCCAGCACGCATGCCATAGGTTCACCATCACGGTCCTAGAACAAAAAAGGTTTCTCCTGTACAGTGGTGTCCAACTCTAGGGGTCTGTGCTACCTCTGTTTCCTAGCTGAGGGAGCCAGCATTGTCCGAAGACATATCCATGGTCATGTGGCCAGCATATGATTATACGCCGAGGCATACAGAATAGCAATAGCACTATAGCAATAGCACTTAGACTTATATACCGCATCACAGTGCTTTCCAGTCCTCTCTAAGTGGTTTACAGAGTCAACCTCTTGCCCCCAACAATCTGGGTCCTCATTTTACCCACCTCGGGAGGATGGAAGGCTGAGTCAGCTTTGAGCCTGGTGGGATTTGAACTGCAGTAAGAGTAGCTTGCAGTACTGCACTCTAACCACTGCGCCACCGAGGAATGCTATTACCTTCCCACTAAAATGATATCTATTTGTCTCCTTGCCTTTGCATGCTTTCAAACCGCTAGGTCGGCAGTCTCTGCCTCTTTCCGGGTTCACAATCTATCCAGCTACATATCCAGCTATGCAATACCCCTATTATAATTGTAGCATAACATCTGTTTCCTCGCCCTGTTTAACCTTTTCCATATCCAGTAATCTCCATCATTAACATGACACTGGACAGCATGACCTGCCAAATTATATATATGTATGTATGTATGTATGTATGTATGTATGTATGTATGTATGTATGTATATGTATATGTATATGTATATGTATATGTATATGTATATATGTATATATGTATATATGTATATATGTATATATGTGCGTGTGTGTGTGTGTGTGTATCTATATATCTATATCTATATATCTATATCTATCTATCTACACAAAAAAATAAAGGGAACACTTAAACAACACAATGTAACTCCAAGTCAATCACACTTCTGTGAAACTGTCCACTTAGGTAGCAACACTGATTGACAATCAATTTCACATGGTGTTGTGCAAATGGAATAGACAACAGGTGGAAAGCATAGGCAGTTAGCAAGACATCCCCAATAAAGGAGTGGTTCTGCAGGTGGTGACCTCCCTCCTTGAGTAGTTTGGAGAACTGGCAAATCCCACCTCTGACTGGCCCCACCCCCATCTATTGTCTGCCGCCCATTGAGTCCCAGCTGATTGGCTGGGTCTTCTTTGGTTGCCCATCACAGGAGAATGGAGCTGGAAAGCAGGTTCATGGGGTGGGGAGAGAAGGGGAATTTTGCAGTAACCTTCCCCCAGGAATGGAGAAGGAATGGAGATTTTGCAGTTTCCTTCCCCTGCTGTGCCCACAAGCCACGCCCACCAAGCCACGCCATGCCCACCAAGCCACACCCACAGAATCAGTAGTAAAAATTTTTGAATCCCACCACTGCTGGGTAAGGTGTGTATACATCCACTGTGCTTGATCATTACTTTTGAATTTTTCCCGGTGATGATTATTAAGCTTCCTTTATCATTGGGAAAATGCTGGTGCTTGTTTTTGTATGGCACATCTTTCCTTCGCCTGGAAGATTTGAAGTCTTCAAACCACCCAGATTGAAAAAAAAAACTCCCACCCCCCACTTTTCTTTTGGAGTGCATCGGTGTTTTGAATTTTATCCTCCAAGTGTTTCCTTTTTCTCACCTGTTTTTCTTTTTTTGCGAGCGTCCTAAATAACATTCTCTAGGTGGGTGACTAGTTCTTCTTTGAGTCGTGATAGACAAGGCGTGTAAATTGTGTATATTAATGGCTGCTTTATACTTGCCTAATGGTAGATTTGCAGTCATTGATTAACATCTCCACATTGGCTGAATGCTTTTGCATTCAACTCAGAGATAAGCACATACGTACGGCAAAAGCACTCAGCCAACGTACAGTATGTTGGAGGCCTTAATCCATGACTGCCATCTACCATTAGGCAAATATAAAGCAGCCATCAATATACACTCTTCAACATCTTCATCAATGATTTGGATGAGAGGATAGATGGGGAACTCATCAAATTTGCAGACGACACTAAGCCAGCAGGAATAGCCAACCCTCCAGAAGACAGGGTTAAGATACAGAAGAATCTTGGCAGACTTGAACATTGGGCACTATCCAACAAAATGAAATTTAATGGGGGGAAAAAAGTAAGGTTCTACTTTTCGAGGCAAGAAAAACAAAATGCATAGATATAGTATATGTGGTACCTTGCTCAACAGTGGTGACTGTGAGAGGGATCTTGGAGTCCTAGTGGACAATCACTTAAATATGAGCCGGCCATGTGCTGCAGCTGCCCCCAAAAAGCCAGGCTGCATAAACAGAGGGATAGAATCAAGATCATGTGAAGTGTTCATACCACTTTATAACGCCTTAGTAAGGCCACACTTGGAATACTGCATCAAGTTTTGGTCGCCATGATGTAAAAAAGATGTTGAGACTCTAGAAAGAGTGCAGAGAAGAGCAACGAAGATGATTAGGGGACTGGAGGCTGAAACATGTGAAGAAGGGTTGCAGGAACTGGGTTTGGCTAGTTTAATGAAAAAAAGGACTAGGGGAGACAGGATAGCAGTGTTCCAGTATCTCAGGGGCTGCCACAAAGAAAAGGAAGTTGAAAGTATTCTCCAAGGCATCTGAGGGAAGGACAAGAAGCAATGGGTGGAAACTAATCAAGGAGAGAAGCAACCTAGAACTAAGGAGATATTTCCTGACAGTTAGAACAATTAACCAGTGGAGCAACTTGCTTCCAGAAGTTGTAAATGCTCCAACAGTGGAAGTTTTAAAGAAGAGATTGGACAACCATTTGTCTGAAGTGGTGTAGGGTTTCCTGCCTAAGCAGGGGGTTGGACTAGAAGACCTCCAAGGTCCCTTCCAACTCTGTTATTCTATTCTAAATATTTACAAGGGGCATTGTCTCTTTCATAACTCAAAGAACTAGTCCCCCATTGACAGAACATTTTTAGGACCCTGGTAAAAGAAAAACAGGTGAGAAAAAGGAAACAGTTAGTGAATTAAAAAAAAAAAAAGAACCCTTGGAGAAGATCCTTCTTGATCTCTTCTTTTGAGGTTTAAATAAACCAGACGAATCCACGGAGGTTCCAAACTTCTGGAGAAATAATTTCACAGAGAGAGAGAGTTGGGACATTCATATTTTACCATTTGGCCAACTCTTTGTCCTTTCCACCCATTGAGAATTGCATGGAGATTTTCTTCTCCTTTGAAGGAAATTTCAAAAGCCAACTCTCTTCCCTCCAATTAAAAGAAGAGCAACAGACAGAGAGAGGGGAAGGAAAAACCACAGCAAAACACTGCAGGAAACAGGACGGAGGCTTTGTTGTTTTGTTTTGTTGGCTTTAATGTCTTGTGTTTACCAAGTTGGGTCATTATATCCTGCAAGTCAGATGCCCAAGAGTGAGCGGAGGTTCTCCTTCCCAATCCAAGTTGCAAAATCAGAAGTTGTCCTTGTCAAAAAGCATCCTTGGGCTTCTCTGGGGGAACTCAGATCCAAACCATGCCAAGGCGCTAATGGGGGGGGGGAGAGGAAATGGAGGAGAATGCAGAACCCTGAAGCATCTGGGCTAACAGCAGGCATGCTGGGAAGCTGAGTGCCATCCAGGATTTCTGCCAGCCGATTGCCAGCCTCCGTTGGTGTAGCTGCCCTTTTGAAGGTGGCTCAATTAATTTATCTCGGCAATTATTTTGACGGGGTGGGAAAATTTTCCCCAGTCACTTTGCGCGATGGAATTTGGGCTTGGAACCAGAGGTGTCTTCATTCTGTGACTTTGTAGAAGTTCTCTTGCTCCTGCAGATCCCAATACAGGTAGTCCTCGACTTATGACCACAAATAAACCCAACATTTCTCTGATCAAAATTCTCACTGAATTTCTGTTTAGCCTTTGCTCCTTTGTACTGAAAGATATTTAAACTATCAGGGTTGAAAGATATCTGCTGAAGTTTTCCAAAAGAATGGAATGGAATGGAATGGAATATAGAATATAGAATACAGAATATAGAGGAGAGGAGAAGAGGAAGAGAGGAGAAGAGAAGAGAAGAGAAGAGAAAAGAAGATAATTCTTTATTGGACAAGTGTGTTTGGGCACACAAGGGATGGGATGTGATCAGTGGTGAGATTCAAAATTTTTTACTACCTGTTCTGTAGGCGTGACTAGGTGGGCATGACTAGGTGGGCGTGACTAGGTGGGCATGGTCATGTGGTTGGGTGGGCGTGGCTTTTTTTGCAGCACCACGTTTACCCCCCCCCCTGTTTTTTGGGCCTTCCCAGCCTCAGGGGAGCCTCTGGGGGGCATTTTTGCTCCCAGAAGGCCCCCCTGGGGCTCAGGAAGGAAAAAACGGAGCATAGGAGGGGCACGCAGCACCCCTCCACACTTCATTTTGGGGCCTTCCTGGCTTCAGAGAAGCGGAGGTATTCAGCCGGTTCGCACTACTTCAGGAGAACCGGTAGCAAGGATTTGGCGTGGGTCACTGAACCGGTAGTAACTTCTGTCTGGCCACACCCCCAACCCGGTCACCAAGTCAAAACGACACCGAGACGATAGGAACACCGGTTGAATCCCACCCCTACCTAAAGCCCATCTCCTGTCTTTCTTAATCCCATCATCTGGAGCTGAAGATGTTTTGTTTATGAATAGATTGGCCTGGATTTCTTAATGGGCACAATTTAGTTCCTTCTCGAAAGAGTTCAGGCATCTGCTGGAGGCTGTCGAGGTTGCTTTCTGCCTTTAAAAACATGTTTCTCCATGTCTTCTTTAAAACTAGTCAGGGGTGGGGAACTGTGGCCCCTTTATGACCTGTGGACCCCAACTCCCAGAATTGGCTCAGGAATTCTGGGAGTTGAAGTCCACAAGTCATAAAGGGGCCATAGTTCCCCTGAGGTATCTGTACCTTGAAAATGATGGAAACAGTCATTAGGATTAGTAATAAGCCCGTCGTTAGTAAGATCATTGTGGTAACTGCATTTTGCATTCTGTTTCTCTAACTCCCTTATCACCCTCTCAGGTATTGTTTACAACGTGGCAGTGGTCACAGGGGACATCAGAGGGGCAGGAACCAACTCCAAAATTCATATTGTCATGCATGGCTCCAAAGGGCTGAAAAACAGCGGGAAGATTTTTCTGGAAGGAGGGAAGTTTGAACGGAGCAGGACCGACCTTTTCAATGTCGAAATTGCGGCTCTCCTTAGCCCCTTAAGTCGCATCTCCATCGGGCACGATAACGCTGGCATCAGTTGCGGCTGGTACTGCGAGAAGGTAAGGACGTGTCTTAAGATTTTGCTGAACAACTGTTCAAGCTGTTTTTTTATCCCTGGTCTAAAGAAAAGAAGAATTAGGGGTGATGTGATAGTATTCCAGTATTTGAGGGACTGCCACAAAGAAGAGGAGGTCAAATTATTCTCCAGAACAACTGGAGGGAAGGACAAGAAACTATGGTTGGGAATTAACCAAAGAGAAAAGAGCAACCTGGAATGAAGGAGGAACTTCCTAATAGTGAGGACAATTAACCAGTGGAACAGCTTCCCTTCAGAAGGTGTGGGTGGACAGAAGAGACTGGACAGCCACTTAACTGAAACGGTATAGGTTTCTCCTGCTTGAGCAGGGGGATGGACTAGAAGACCTCCAAGGTCCCTTCCAGCTTCTATTCTATCCTATCCTATCCTATCCTATCCTATCCCTATTCTATTCCATTCCATTCCATATTTTCTATTCTATTCTGTTCTGTTCTGTTCTGTTTATTCTATCCCCATTCCCATTCTATCCTATCCTATCCCTATTCTATTCCATTCCATTCCATATTTTCTATTCTATTCTATTCTATTCTATTCTATTCTATTCTATTCTATTCTATTCTATTCTATTCTATTCCCATTCCGAGTCTATCCTATCCTATCCTATCCTATCCTATCCTATCCTATCCTATCCCTATTCCATTTCATTCCATTCCATTCCATTCCATATTTTCCATTCTGTTCTGTTCCGTTCCGTTCCGTTCCGTTCTGTTCTATTCCCATTCCCATCCTATCCCTATTCCTATTCCTATCCTATCCTATTCTATTCTTTGGGCCTATCTAACAAAATAAAATTCAATGGTGAAAAAAATAAGCTTCTACATTTAGGCAAGAAAAACCAAATGCACAGGTATAGAGGAGGTGGTACCTGGCTCAATAGTAGTAACTGCCAGAGGGGTCTTGGAGTCCTAGTGGACAATCACTTAAACATGAACCAGCAGTGTGCTGCAGCTACCCAAAAAAAGCCAACACAGTCCTAAGCTGCATCAACAGAGGGACAGAAACAAGACCACAGGAAGTGTTAATGCCACTTTGTAATACCTTGGTAAGGCCACACTTGGAATACTGCATTCAGTTTCGGTCACCACAATGTAAAAAAGATGTTGGACTGGAGACTAAAACACATAAAGAACGGTTGCAGGAACTGGGTATGTTTAGTCTAATGAAAAGAAGGGCCAGGGGAGACATGATAGCAGTCTTCCAATATCTGAGGGGCTTCTACAAGGAATATGGGGGGGGTCAACCTATTCTCTCTTTTTTTTTTTGAAACAAATTTTATTAATTTTAAAGACAAACAAACCATCATTAACCATTGAATACATAAAACCTCTTTCCATTATAAATTTTACAAGTCGAATAAAACATTATTTTATACAACATAATTCTATTTTACACCATTTCCATATGAACATATAAATATCTCTTAGCAAATTTCTCATTATTTCTCTTTACTCTTATTCAATTTCATTATTATTATTATTTTTTCCTATATTTATCCAATTTATAGTTATCATCTTCATTTCTCTCTGACTTGGTTACCGTTATTCTCATCCAAGATTCCTCCAAGGTTTTATTAATTCTCACACAGACATAAACACACAGAACACAAAAACATAAAACTTCTTTTAAGAAAGTAACTTGGCCCCAGATTACCTCTCTCTCTATGGACTTCAATTAAATTCATGCTCATCTTATATACCATTACCTATCTTATTTACCATTCTATATCTTCTATATAGCTTCTCCCCGCTTTTCACTCTTCTTAATTCTATTTTATTTAATTCATTTTAATTAAAATGAATTATAATTAAATTAAAATGGGGTCAACCTATTCTCCAAAGCACCTGAAGGCAGGACAAGAAGCAATGGATGGAAATTAATCAAGGAGAGAACCAAGGAGAAATTTCCTGACAATTGGAACAATTAATCAGTGGAGCAACTTGCCTCCAGAAGTTGTGCATAGGCCCTCCAGCAGCCAAATCGGAGGAGGAGGAGGAGGAGGCCTAGGAGTCAGGGTCAGCATCAAGGTGGGAGAGCTTCAAGGTGGAAAGAGGGAGTGTATCTGGCAGAGCAATAGAGACAGAGGCAGAGCCTGGGCCGTCCGTCAGCCCTCAGATGGATAGTCAAGAGCCCCCAGATCTGGAGGTGGCCGATGAAGAAGAGGAGGAACAGCTGGGTCCAGTGCCTGACATGCAGATGCACAGAAGATAGAGGAGAGGAGAGCAATGGAAATCTATGAGCTGGTCCTTGGGACGGAAAAACCACTGTTGCTTGCAAAGCCCCACCCTAGCTCTGGGGATAAAAGACAGGGGGGCGGAAATGAATAGATGTGGCAGACAACCATTCATCTTCTGGACGGATGGACTTATCAGCACTCCTAATTAAAGGAATCTTTTGGGTTCACGTCAGAGGGTTTGTCGTGTTTGGGGAGCTGGGTCAGGACAGATTGCTGTATGCCTTCGGAGGGTGCCAGGTTGGGCAAAGGGCGCA